AAGGGGGTAAATGTGATGGAACTGTTGAATTTCTTCATGTAGCTGCTCTGCAGGGCCTATGGAAAGGCTGGTTATGTAGCTGGTAGCATCAGCTGACCAGAAATGCTGTGTTTTCTTCCCAAAATGGTTAACAAGTCACCTTTTGGTCTTGCATGGGGAAAGAAATAAAGAAGAGGAGAGAGCAGGAAGAGAGAGCGAGCGAGTGAGTTACACGGGCTACATGTGAGTGAGGGGGTGTGTGTGTTTCTGTGTCTTTCTTTCTGTCTCTGTTGAATCTTCCTTTCCCTGAAGTCACACCTCCTATCTGCTGAGGAGTTGACGAAGGTGTTTTCTATTTTAGTCTGTAGCCTTCCCATCTGGTGTCTGGATTTCTTCTAGGCTGCCACTGGTGGGGGAATGAGTACGGGGTATTAGTTGTCCATGTTTTCTCCTTTCAGGGTTTTTTTCATAGTATTTATTTTAAAATTATTAGTTTTATGAGTCACAGTGGTCAAATTTTGGCAATTTCATATGATTCAACCTATTAATTCAACCCTTGTGATTCTCAATCTTCCTCAATATTTCCTCTTCTTACACCTGCTCCTTAAATATTAAATCTTTAATAATAGCTATCATCTGTTACCACCTACTGGATGCCCTGTACTTCACATGTGGCAGCTCTGCAAGGGAGGCCTGATGTTCATTTTGTCCCTCTGCAAGGGAGAGACTGTGGCTCAAACAGTTGGCCCAAGACTTGCGGCGCAGTAATTGGCAGGGTAGGACTCAACCCAGAACTCGTTGGTTCAAGTCTGGAAGCCTCTTGTTGCTACTGTATTCCCCCGTGTTTGTTTCCTTGAGTTTTATCATGATCCTTGTGCTTTATCATGATCCTTGTGCTTTATATTTCTGGCACAAATAAATAAGCCTTTGATTGGACAGAAAAATGGACTTTTGATGGGCCATCAAACCACTTTGGATGATGGTATTTGAGGTTATAAGTTATTAGCAGGTTATCTTCAGAAATGTAGTCTGGTACTTAACTGTACTGCCTCCTGTGATGGTTCACAGTAAACTCCTCTCTTCTAAGCCAAATTATAATTAAAATTCTGGAAGAGAAGGTGCTCTGATATTTGGACCTTAAATCCATCTCAGGGAAATCTCACCTTCTTCCGGTCCCCACTTTGGTCTTCTACCTAGGCTTTGCTGTAGTTCAGTTGCTAAGTCTTGTCCGACTCTGTGAGAGACAGACCTTAATCTTTTTCAATCTTTTCCTTAAAACATCCTGGAGACTTGGTTCATTCTGATGCCTGCCTCCTCCCCCCAAGTCTTTTTCCAGTGAGTTGGAGTGCTATTCTGAATCTAAATGTACACCTGAAGAGAATAGTGCTTTCAGGGTAGAATTCCTTCCCAGGATATCTTGAGAAATTTGTATTTTTCCAAATTACCAGAAGAAAAATCAGTTTAAAAAGATACATGGGAAAAGTGTTGCAATTCTCCTTTGACAACTAAAACAATCAACATAGAGACATTAGTACATCAAAGGAATCCACTGACGTCAAGTTGAAAGCTAACCTGTGGAAGTGAAGGATAAGATTGACATTTCCCAGAGCCAGGTCATGATAGGAGTGCAGAGGAGAGAATTGGTCATGATTGCTTGTAGCTGTTGCTGTGTTATAAAAGTGTGCTCGTGGGCCTGTCTCCTGCTACTGGTGAGTCACACTTACAAATAAAATAAATACAAATTTATATGCATTGCGTGTGGTATACGAATCCTGTGAGTGGTATTCCAAGAAATATGTTTCCAAAGCAAAATAGGCCTTTAAGATGGCAGTTTCAACATGTGATTCCCTGTAGTGCTGTTAACCTTCTTCATAGATCCAAATGCAGGTTATTTCAGGGATCAACAAACCTTTCCTCTCAAGGGCCAGATAGTAAATATTTTAGGCTTTGCAAGCCATATGGACTTTGTCACAACTATCAACTCTGCTGTTTCATGTGCAAGCAGCCGCAGACTATACGTAAAATGAACAAGTGGGGCTGTGTTCCAATAAAACTTTTGTTTACCAAAGCAGACTGTAGGCTGGATTTGGCTTGCCATTGGAATGCTCCCCAATAATGCTCACTGACATTTGCCAGCATTTGAACATTTGTTATAGGCTATATAGTTCTTTGTAAATAGTATTGTTTGTTTCTTATTTCTTTAATGTTTCTTTTAGGTATCTATAATAATGAGAAAAGGGTGTTTGGAAGTTTTTTGTTGTTGTTGTTAATAGCTCACAATCTGGGGAAGTTTCTGAAAATTTCAGTTTCTCCTTCCCAAACTCTGAAGCTTGATGGCTATAGAGAATGTGGAAGTCCCTGGAGACGGAGATTTGCTATACCCTCAGGCTTCCCTGGTGGGCTCAGAGGTTAAAGCATCTGCCCGCAGTGTGGGAGACCTGGGTTCGATCCCTGGGTTAGGAAGATCCCCTGGAGAAGGAGATGGCAACCCACTCCAGCATTCTTGTTTGGAAAATCCCATGGACAGAGGAGCCTGGTGGACTATACTCTACAGAATAGCAAAGAGTCAGACACGACTGAGCGACTTCACTTCACTGTGCTCCTCTCTACTTCCTGATTCAGTTAGCCTTTATCTTTCCTCAGCTTATGTGATTGTCCTGCTTCCATGGGCTGTGTGGTGTCCCCAAGTGCATCAGTCGTGTAGGGAATTTGACCTGCTTTTTTGCCCACTGGAGATGGGGAATCTTGGGAACTGGTTGACATCTCTTGTTGCTTTCCTTCAGAATTACTTGTAAATAATGCCTTGCCCACATATTCAAGTATCTGGAGTAGATTGTTCTTCAAGGATCCTTGACATTATATGCTTGGCTATAGCGATGTTATTTTAGAGCCAGAACAAGAGAACACTTGTAGTATCATGTGGATGATTTGTGTATTGTTTGGGATTGGTATACTTCATGCTTTTCTACCATGCTCCTTTAGAACTTCTATTATTTTAAGAAGTAGTAAACAGGGAAGGGAACTAAAACTATCTACTATAAGAATTCATTTCAATTCTTAGGAATAGTCAGGATACAGTTTTAACTTACTGGTAATTAACACAGATTTTGGACTCAGTGAAACTTGATTTGTTTTGCTACATATTTCAAAAGTGTGATCTTGGGACAGACAGACTTCACCTTTCTAACATTGTTTTCTCATCTTTCAAATGGAAATATTAATACCTTCCTCTCCATTTTTGTGTTGTTAGGATTAAATCAGAAAATGAAAGTGTGTAGTTAGCACAGCTTTAGAACTTAATGATAGCTGGCATTTTTGCTAACTTTTTTAAAGCTTTTTTTTTTGAGGGCTGTGCTTGGTCTTCATTTCAGCATGCAGGCTTTTCTCTAGTTGAGGCATGTGGGGGCGTTTCTGTAGTTGCAGCACTGGGGCATCTCTTATTGCAGATCACGAGCTCTTGAGCATGTGGGCTCAGTAATTAAGATGCGAGGGCTCTCTAGTTGCAGCATGTGGGCTTATTGCACACCACATATGGGAACTTAGTTCCCTGACCAAAGATTGAACCGCAGCCCCCTGCATTACCACTGCGATCACCAGAGAAGTGCCATCAGTTCTTAAAGATGGGAGATATTAACCTTGTTTCATGGCAAAGGAAACTGCAACAAACAGGGGTTAAGTGATTTATGTAAGATCACATTTAGTAGGTTGGAAAACTGGGTTTGACTCTTTCCTAAGTCTATGTTCTTGCTGTCATATGCTGCTTCATTTCAGTTTTAACAATAATTCTGTAGCAAGATACACCATGGTTTATTTGGGTTGTGAGGCTGGGTGGGTAGACAGGGAAAGTATGGGATGATGTCTTTTGTCTTTTTTTTTTAATTGAAATACAACTGACATATTTGTTTCAGGTGTACATTACAGTGATTCAATATTTGTGTATATTGCAAATGATCACCACAATTACACAATAACATGATAACATCTATCACTACACAGGGGATGATGTCTTAAAAGGGCAAGGATCTGTAGTATTTGAAAGTCACAGCTTCTAGAAGCCAAGAATATAGTTATAATTAAAAAGTTGAGAAAACTTGCCCTGATTTTTTTCTCCTGTTGCTTAGCTGCTGTATTGACTGCCAAGAACATGTCTGATTTTAAGTACCTTTTATGCTTGCTTGTTACTCAGTCCCATCATATTACAACAACTTTTAAGAAACTATGCATGTTCTCGTAAATTGGATTAAAGAAAAATGTACTACTATGTTAAGCCTGCAGTTGGAGTTAGAACGTTTTTTTGGATTTCTCCTTTTCCCCTTCCTCACTCTCACCCTCCACCACTTCACAGGAATGTGCCTGTAACCTTTATGGGTCAGATTTTCACAAGGCATGATTAGTTGCCAATAATTAAACGTCCATAGCTAAGCAAGTAAATTGGCCAAGGTTTTGGAAAAAACTCAGTTCAGTGAAAGTTTTGTGACAGGTTGCAGCACTTTGCTATATGCACATGGTGTCTGACTTAACGATGGTTCAACTTCACGATTTTGCAGTGTTAAGATGGTGCGAAAGTAATACGCATTCAGTGGAAAGTGTACTTTGAATTGTGAATTTTGATCTTTTCCTGGCCTAACAAACGACGTGAGACATGCAGTACTGTCTCATGAGGCTGGGCAGCGGTAGCTCCCAGTCAGCCACGTGATCACAGGGTAAACAGCCAACACAGGCTTTCTGTTTGTCACTTTCCGTACAGTATTCAATAAAGTACATGAGATATTCAGCATTTCATTCTAAAATAGCTTTGTGGTAAGTGAATTTGCCTGACTGTAAGCTGATGTAAGTGTTCTGAGCAGGTTTGAGATAGGCTGGACTCCTCTACAATGTCTGGTGGGTGCATGCATTTTCAGCTTAGGACATTTCAACGATGGGTTTATTAGGCTGTAATCAGGTAAATCAAAAGAGATCTGTATAGGTATTTATTTTATAGCACTGGTTTTAATTGGTGCATGCCTCTTGTTTGTTTGTTTTTATTTTTTAAAATGCTCTTGGGAAAAAAAAATGCTCTTGGGGTTTTGAACAAGACCTGTCAAGATCTGTCACGGTTGCTATTGGCATGGAATGTATTGGTGCAGAGATGGGTCCTGAGGAGAACATTTGAAAAGTCAAGTATTTGGAATTTGTTTTCCACCTTTGCTCTCATTTTACTGACTTATTCTTCTTTATAGTACACCACAGTTTTGAGTTCAACCTATGGGTTATTTGAGAGCCTAATAATTTTAAAGCAAATATTAAACTATGCTCAATTAGTTTAATATTTTTATCTAGTAACTCTTGAGCACCAACTGTATCCTAGGTACCATGAGGAAAGGAAAGCGCAAATGAATAATATGTCATCCTTGCCTAGTTTTATTTATTTATTTATTTTTTGAGACCAACGTAGTTCAAGGCAGAGGATTAAGTGCCAGGTCATATAGAAGTGAGTCTTGCAGAAGATATATACAGAGGAATGAGAATGGAAAGAGCTGGAAAATGTGTAAATCATTATGGAAGGCTGAAGTAAGGCAGGAGAACCTGAACAGGGTCTTGAAGGAATTCCCTTTGGGAAAGGTGATAGGGCTGGGAAGTTGGCAGGGAAATTAGAAGTACATTTGTAATTTTCAAAAAGCCCTGTTTTAAAAAGAATCAGAAAAATATGGACCAGTATTTTTTACATTTTCTTGCTTATCTAAAGCTCCTCCCCAAATAGTACCTATAACTTGAAGACATGGCTGGCCCTAGGAAGGGCAGAGACAAACTAGCCCATTTGAACTGGCCACCTTCTAAAATGCAGTTAATCTTCAGCAGACGTGAATGTAACTTCTTTGGTGTGAAGCTGCCAAATTTCCTTGGCCCAGGATCTTGGAAAATACCAAGGTTTCAACAGTTTGTTCTGAAACTCAAGGTTTGTGGATACTGCTTAACTGGAGTTTGTTTTTAAAGATGTCCACTCTAGAAATGGATTTTTACTCTTTAACTTCACTAAATGATTGCTTAAAATGTCAAGTTTCTGGTTGACCTTTCTACGGGGGGATATTTTTGTGTGTCTTATTTTTAGTATCTTATTTTTTTGTCTGTCTTATTTTTATATTCTCAATTTCTCTTTTCAATTGGATTGTGAATTTAAACTGAATGAGGCAAGGTTTCGAAGTTATTTGTAAAACATTTCCCTTCAATTCCAAGGTTGATGTGATTTTACTTCCAGATAATTATTGAGGAATGCTGTATTTTGGATTTGTTTTCTGCTTAAATTTATTTACCTGAAAGTGTTCTTGGCAAAGTGGTCCTTGAGATTAAAAAAAAAAAAAAAAAAACACAACAACAAAGTGCTGTTTTCTGAAAGGGGTAAGTTTTTCACTGTTTTTTGAATGGGAAAGTTTGCTTCTAATAAAAATTTCCTCTTCCTTTGGCAAATGTTGATGTTTTTGAAGTCTTCCAAAAGGAAAAGGGAGCTTGGGAAGCTTTTTGGGTTTTTTTTTTGATAGTTATCTGCAGCCCCTTTCCCTTCCGCTGTGTGCTTCTAACCCCACCTTTGTTTTATGAGTCTTGAACTAAATCTCTCTACTGCTGAAAATGGATGTTGAAAATGGACCCAAATCAGGTTGTTCTGGGTGGAAGCAGGAGAAACTGATTACTCTGGTACACGGAGCATCTCACATAGCAGCCAGGGGTCTGGAGAGAGACTTTCATTCTGTACTTTTAGACAGCTTGAACCTTGTTTTTCCCAGGTACATGAAATAATTAATATATGCAAGACCAATGTTTTTGTTGGGTTGTTTTTGTAATGGCTAGAGTACGTGGTATATGGACTTTAAAGGAACTTGATTTTGAAGTTTACCAACTCAGATCCTACTGGCTTTTGTGTTGTTTAGAAAAATATTTAAGATTCATGTGGACTCATGATCTCAGCCTCCCACGTGTCTGTTTTCAGACCCTTTTCTGTCCTTGCTGCACTGGTAAATCAGCTGTGGTTGGTGGTCCCGTTTGAAAGGCTTGTCAAGTGTGCACTTACTTTAGCCTGCACATTCACAACTGCAGACTTTTCTTCTGAATAGCTTAATTTTTCTTCCCCTCTGCAGCACTGGGCCGCTTGTGAGCGTCACACTGCCAGCGCAGGAGCTACTGGAGAGTTCTCTTTATTTCTGGAGACTCCGGGAGTGCCTCTCCCACGCTGGGAGCGAGTGAACGGAGCCTTGGGGAAGAGCCCACTGCTGGAAGGACCGTGGGAGGAGATGCCTGGGAGCCAGCTCTAAGGTAGCCAAGCTTTGACCAGGAGCTCTCAGCGGCCTCCCAGGGCCATCTGTAGAGCTGTTCTAACAACTCCCCTGTTTTATGACACGGGAGATTCTTAGCCACCGTTATCATTTGTTAGTTTGTATGAACCCAACATAAGAAAGTTAGGACCAAACCGGTGGCTCTTTATCCTTGCATTTACTTTGAAGGTAGGCTTTTTTTTTTTTTTTTTGGTGGGGCTGCTTGGTTATCTTTCAGCTCTGCCAAATTGTTCAGATACTACCATTTCCCTGCATATAAAATGCTTCTGCCATTCTTTTCACCTTACAGGACCACTGCTTTTTCTCCCCTTTTCCTTCTAAGTAGACAATGTCTTTGAGCAGTTTTAGATTCATAGGAAAATTGAGTTCTCATAGACATTCCTGTCCCCACACACCCTGACCTCTCCCAGACTCTTAGTCTCCCCAGGAGAGTGGTCCATTCATTACAATAGGGAATCCTGCGTGGACACATTATACCAAAGCCCATAGTTTCCATTACTGTTTGCTCTTGTTGTACATTCTATGGATTTGGACAAATGTATAATAATATAGATTCCCCTATTATAGACATTTTTCCTTTTAAGTAGAATTTTCCTACAGAAACATTTTACTGCCCTAAAAATCCTCTGTGCTCTGCCTATTAACCCCTCCACCCACCCACTCCCTGGCCACTACTATTTTTTTAATTGTCTCCATACTTTTCTGTGTCCCAGAGCTATATTTTCATAATTCGCTTTCTTGGAGTACTTTGAAATCCATGTAAAGAAGTCTCACTCTCAAGATGAAGTGCTGTTAAGGCTGTGTTAAGCTGTGGTGGTAACACAAAAAACAGCTTACATAGGGTCTGTAAGACTGTTCATGTGAGGGGGGACCTGAAGTGCTCAACATTGGTGGGTGTGCCTCTGAATTAAAAAGTTGTGTTTGCCTGGATATGGTGTGCATCTTGTACACAGAGACAGAAGCATGAGGTTTCTGCAGCCTCTTTAGGTTCAGAATTTTGGGGCACGATCTCTAGTAGCTGCCAAGTGTTCTTTTTTGAGGAATGTTCTAATTTATTATTTTCAGAAACTTTATTTTTTTATGTAAAAGTGTATTTTTATTTAATTCCAAAGAGTATAAAATGATATAAAGATAAAATTTCCTCCCTCCTTTTTTCTTTTACCTATAGCTAATAATCTGGAACACACAATTTTTCACATACAAACTTTTCATAGGCACGCAGATTGTGTATATTAGTTAAAAATTGATGGAGGTGGCTACACATTTGGTTTTACAGCTTGCTTTTTCCTTCTACTTGATATGCTGTAGACATTTTTCCTTTTAAGCAGGATTTTCCCTTTTAAGAAGAATCTCAATATAAGTAATGACTTCTTAGTGTTCTGTTTATGGCTGTAACATAACAACAACCAGTTGTCAAGTGAGGGGTTAGCCTATAAATTTAAAGGGGGATGTGGGTGGTGGTGGGGGAACTTTCACATTAGGGCAAAAACAAAAGCCTTGACTGTTGACATTGGACATTTAGTCATTGAGGATGTGAGTTTTTATCTTCCAAGCAGATGATGCACAGCTTTGGGTTGTTGCCAAGGTGTCAGTTATGTCAAGTTTTCATCTTCTGGATGCCTGGAAGGAACTTTGGCACTAGGCTGTGTTAATATATTAGCATAGTTGTTAGTTCTGGCTACCGTCCTTGGAGCATTTTGAGATGTTTTCATGCCCATTTAAGGTGGCATGTGGTTGAATGAGTTTTAAGAGGAGGTAATGAAGAATAGGGATGGAATTAAGAGACTGATTTTATTTTGCATATATTTATTTCAGGGAGGAGGAGGAGATGATGGTGTTAGTTAATTGCTAGCCCTGTGATTCTTAATTATGAGATAGGGTTAAAATTGTTCAGCTCAATAGCTTCCTAGTGTAGTTGACAGCGAGAACCACCAGAAAAGTTTTTAGATATCAGGGGCCAGGAATGAATATTTTTATTGTTATTATTTTATAAAATACTTATTTTTAGGAATATAATAATCAATGTTTATAAGATTTAAAAGGTACCAAAGAGTGAAAAATAAGTCTCTCACTTCCCTCTGTCTCTCAATGAGTCTTCCTAGAGACAAGCATTGTTACCAATTTCTTATGTATTCTTTCAGAGGTTTCAGGTATATATATCAACATATAATCTAAAGATTATTGCAGTTTCTTTCTTTTTTTTTTTAACCCAAGTGGTAACAACATACACTGTTTTGTTCTTTTTTCATTGAAATACTGTTTCTTGGAAGTTCTTAATATTAATGCTGCATTCTTTCTTAATGGAAGCCTAACATTCCATTTAGAGGTGGGCTGTAATTTACTTAACCAGTACCTTATTGATAACTATATAGATCATTTCCAATTTTATTATCATAAACAAGGCTGTAGGGAATAATCTTGTACACATATCATGTTAAACATTTGTGAATGTATCTGTAGGATCCATTTCTAATAGTGGAATTGCTGGGTTGAAGAATTATGCACATTTTAATTTGGGTTGAAATTTATTGCCAAATTGTTCTGTTCATAGAGCTTGCAAAGTTTTAGATTCCACCAGCAATGGATGAGAACCTGCTTCCTCATACCCTTGCCAATCACAGTATAATTGTAAAACTGATAGGTTTTCTTCTTCACCAAATCAATAGGTGAAAAAATGACAGTTTAATGGAGCTTTAATTTGCATTTTTTTTCTTATTTTGATTGACACTGAGCATATTTTCATAAGTTTAAAGACCCTTTGTATTTCCTGCTCTGTTCCCTCTGTGTTAATTCCTTTGTCTATTTTCTATTGAGTTATTGATCTTTTTATTATCAATTCACAGGAGCTCCTATACATTAACTAATTAGCACCCCATCCTTGTGATATTTATATTTGGTCATTTGTATAAAATATTTTGCTGGGTTTTTGTTGTTGTTGTTGTTGTTTTATTTGCTGTGTCCGACTCTTTGTGACCCCATGGACTTCAGCCTGCCAGGCTCCTCTGTCCATGGGATTTCCCAGACTAGAATATTGGAGTGGGGTTTCCCCAAAGAATCCAGCTGCCAATGCAGGAGACACAAGAATACTGGAGTAGGTTGTCATTTCTTTCTCCAGGGAATCTTTCCGAACCAAGGATTGAACCTGTGTCTCCTGCTTGGCAGGTGGATTCTTTACCACTGAGCCACCAGATTTTGTATACTTAAATTAATCTATTTATTCAGCAGGTATTTATTGAATCCCTCTTATGCATTAAGCACTCGTTCCAGGCATTAGGTTATACAATAGCAAAGAGATCCCAATTCTTGCTACACGGAGCTTACATTATAGTGGAAGAGATAGTCAATAAAAGATGTTTAAAAATATTTATAGAGGGGATTCACTAGTGGTCCAGTGGTTAGGACTGGACACTGCCAGGGCTGGCTTTGATCCCTGGTCAGGGAACTAAGATCCCACAAGTCATGTGGCACAGCCCACCCCCCCCCCGCCCCAATATTTATAGAGATAAATATATAATTAACCTTTTTTTGGCTTCAGGATTTTGTATCACAAAAGACTGTCTCCATTCTTAGAGCTAAAATCTATTTCATGGTTCCTTGCAGTGTCATGTTGTTCTTTTTTTCTAGACAAATCTTTGATCCACCTGGAATGTTAGGTATGAACCTAACTCAGTTTTTCTCTAGGTGCTCTATTAATTAGGATAAGGCTGAGTTGCTGTAACCAAGGACCTGCACTGTGCTGTGGGTCAAAGAACAGAGAAGCTGATTTTTGTCCTTGCTTAACAGTTCCAGTGTGAGCAGAGCAAGTCTGCAGAACCACCCATATCCACTGGTCCCTGGGAGGCAGGTTCTGTCTGTCTTGTGGCTCCAGTATTTGTCTCTGTAGTTATCTGTATGGTCATAGCTGGGTCGCTACCATAGCTGGGTTCCTTCCGTGTGAAGGACGAAGGAGAAAGTCCAGGGCAAGTGATCACATGTCACTTCTAATTCCATTGGTGAGAACTTAGTCCTGTGATCACATCTAGTTGTGAGGGAGGGTGGGGAATACAGTCTGTGCTGGTCAGCATGTGCCCAAGAAGTGAAGAAGGAATTTTAGTGGAAAATAAGCAGTCTCTGTCACACTGACTGGTCATTGCAATTTTACCAAATCGTCCCAAATTTTCTCTTTTGATTTCTTTTGTATTATAAATTCCCATATACATTGTGGTTTATTTGGGGGATATCTGTTTAGTTTCATTGATCTCTCTGCCTATGCATGTAGCAGGATCACAATGTTTTTCTTAAACTCTTGGAGCTTAATATGTTTTTTCTCTTTTGTAGGGGCAGTTCCATTTTACTGAATTTTCATATTTATTTTAAATTTCCTTTTATAGATTTTTATATTTATCTGTGTGTGTGTGGTTTTGAAAAAATAAGAATTTTAATCATATCTAGTCACCACTCCCTCCACCCTAAGAAGAAAACCTGTTAACACGATTATTGTGATTGCGCTAAATAAGTTTTGTGAGAGAAGGTCCATAGCTTTATGGTGTTAATTTTTCTTATTTGGTGATTAATGTTGCACAGTGTTTGGGAAACACTGATTTGGATTCTATAATCATTCTATATCCTTGACCCATGAAATGTATGTAAAATTGAAGTAGGAGAGAGGAAGAACCAACTTATCGTAAGGTGTTGTTATTTTTATTTTAATACTTGATTTCTAATTATGACTTGGTAAGTGAAGCCTGTTTCTCTATTAGAAATTAATAAACTTGGAACATGAAAAAACAATATTCCCACTGAAGATAGGAAGTAGTTGATATTTCAGAAGATTATTGTATAAACTTGTTTATAGCACAAACCTGGGCAAATTTTTGCATATATATATTTGATACTTGGTGTTGTTACTGCCTCTGAGAGTGGGTGTGTGTTAGTCTGCACCTTTGTTTAAGTAATACACATTCCTCTTTTGTTTTCTCCTTTTTACCTTTTTATTATATA